GGAGGTAAGACAGTAATTTTATAGCCTTGTAGAATGAAGGCTAAAAATATAAAGGGATACATTGATAATTCATTCACAAAACTTACAAAAATACAAAGCCTGAGTAAAATCATTTCAGAAAATTTATCTCCGTGACTTACGTTCTTTTGGATGTTGTCATCAAATGGAAACGATTCATTTTAGACGCCAATTATCGTTGTGGAAGATAGGGTTGGTTTAATTTTGCAGAGTTAAATATGTTTTATTGCTATTAATATTGAGGATGCTATCTCCTTAAGGATTACATTTTTTATTAGAAGTAGTTTTTTTTGTACTAATTTTAATTTGTTGTAAAAATGGATCATTATTTTGGGGAAATATGATTTACTGAAAGTTGAAAGAAGTTAACTCTGAACAATTTCGTCTTTGGGATTAGCGGTATAACCTAAATGTGAAGAGCAATATAATATCAGATATCCTTTGACCACCACAAGTGCTATATAAGACATTAACAAATTCCTGCCATTCTGACTTGTCAGCTCTAAGCTGGATGGTGATTAAAAAAAAAAAAAAAAATTCAATTAATTATCCCAGTTCTTTCCTGCTCTGTATTTATTTTCCAACATATTCGAGATCTAGGGCATTATACCAAACTCCGCTTGGTATTTTTTCGAAAATGTTTTGTAAAAACCCGCGATCAACTTCGACAGAAATGCTTTCTTTTTTGACAAATACAGTATATTTTGCGGAAAAGATGGAAGAGTACTCGTTAATTGCTCCGAAAATCAGAGTAAATCGGATCTACATTTCAAGGACTCTGACTAGATATTATCAGTGTAATCGTATCTATAGCAAAATTCTCTTTCGGGATTGGTTCTCTACGCGCCTATTTTTCACGTAATCAGCGCGCGATCACGTGGGTGCCCAACTACGGGTATGTATTTGGATACCTGAAATTGGATACCCACGCGATTCGCACGTCAATTGCGCGCGCTTTACTGGCTTCCTTCGTTTCAGACGTTTTCTTTGAAAATAAGTTCTCAAAAGACATTATTTCCGAAATGTGTTATATATACGATTAATTAGTAATTGGACCTCGTGTGGTAAAATTCAGGGAGTAACCGTGCTCGTAATTCAAATCGGCCTATCGCCTCGTGCTTGTCCGATTTTGAAATTACTTGCACGATTACTCCCTAAATTGAGGCTTCGCCTCATGGGCTATTGACCCGTGGCCCTTGAGGGCGAAGGGTCTAATTGTTTTAGTATCACCCAATTAGTCGGACAGAAAAGGCAATAAT